CCCCCCCACTTCCCTTCTAGCACACCAGACTTACCAGCTACATGCAGCTCTTCAAGCTGGCAGGCTGGTATCAGAAATCGGATTGATATCGACTGATATGCCTCCTTAAAAATCGGCTATTGGTATCAGCTCCCAAAATCTCTATCGTTGCACCCCTAACTCTTTAAAAAATGTATTGGCAAAAGTTATCTGCTGTACTTGTTTTCTGTATATTACTGTATTTAATAAGTTATAGAAGTTATAGCTTCCCTGCATGAAAAGATGTAGGGATTAAAAATCAATTAAAAGATGGAATTTCAACATTTTGAACCACTGAGAAGGTGCTGATGTTTGTTCTGTCCATTAAAGATTCCTTCAAAATGTGCTGTAGTATTTTGTGAACATTTGTAAATATTAGCTGTTATAAGTGTACTTCTGTTGTCAATGAAGGCTCATTAAGGTCCAAATTTAATAATATATGTAAGCACATGACTTAAGGTTAAGCACGTGCTTCAAGTGTACTTCAGTGGGGCTTAAGCATATGCTTATAGGCTTTCCTGGTTGGTGACTTAGGTATGACGATGATCCTTTCAGACTATGAAAGAACTTAATGTATATTTTATTTTTCACTGTAGCCCCTATGTTCTATGCCAGAAAGTGCACAAACCATAAAAAAACACAAGAATTATAGCAGTGAAAGTAGCTGTGACAGCAGTAGCAACATGTCGGAATGGGAAGAAGAAACTGAAAAGGAATATCACAATGAGAAAAAAGAAAAGAAAGTGACCTATGATCTTGAAGAAAATAAGTATAAACCCTTAGAACGATCTGGTAAGTGAATTGATTGCAATTTTGTTTAAATCCAGTACGCAAAAATAATTATACAAGATATTCCTATATGTGGAACTTAGCAGGATCAAAAATAATAGGCCAGAAAATAGACATGCAGTATCTTGACACAGGACCACCTGATTTCACCAGCAGGTTTGTTTTATTCTTATTTTTTAAAACCCAGATCAAGTTAAATAGGAATTAATAATTAAAAACACCTCTGCATTTTTTTGCCAGAATACTAAATAAAATGATACACATGGGCTATATTCAGAAGTGGTGTCCATGCTCCTCTGTTTATAGTAGTTCTAGCAGAGTTGCCAGTCAAGTTGTTACTTCTTTTTTAAGCTATTAAGCATGCATTTTGTGGGAAATTAAAGAGATAACAATCCAAACTAACTCTTGTCTCACAAAGCCCAGAAGGTAAGATTTTTCCAGATGGGGCTGCTGTCCAGATATAAATAAGATTTTATTTTGATAGTCCAGTAGCTTTGAGAGTATAATGTTAAAGAACTAACCTGGTATGTACAATATGCTGTTTTGTATTTTATAGTAGATTGTCAAAACAGTATTGCATTTTGGTACTACTGCCAAAAAAATATTTTTTGTAACAGCATATTTTATTCACCGAGGACTGCAGAAGACATCAGTTGAGTGAATTAGCGCGATGCCTCTGTGCAAGGATGATGAGCCTTCGGAATGGGAGCTTGGGTCTGTAGCTATAGGACCCATGAACAAAATCTGCCCCCATCTTTTCCTGTGTAAGGGAAACTCAGCAACCATAGATTCTGTCATTTTGAGGCCTCAGAAGTATGCACCCTTTGACAACACTAGTGTACAGACAAGAGGATTTGAGCTCTTTTGATAAAGACTGATTTAGGGAATGAAATGGACACTTACATAAAATATTTATTAGGGAACCTAATCTTACTGCCCAACAGAAACAAACTCTGCTCAGAAGACAAAAGAAAAGGTGGTAAAGGGATAGTAAGTAATTGCCTCCTACATTGTGTTTGTTTGCAGGTAGGATACACTGGAAGCTTTCCAATAAAAATATGAAAAGTCTATCATATTCAGCCTCCACATCCTCCAGAAGTCCTATGAGGCGTTCAGTAAGCTGTCCCCGTTCAATCTCAATTGTAACTATGCAGTCGCAAACTGAGCAACGTCCCTATTCAGCCAAACCAGCAATACACATGCAGCGTCCATCTTCTGGGAACAGGTCCCATTCTTTAAATCGGAGCTCCTCTTCAGTCCAAATGGTTCATCCAGCTAACCTGGCCACTATGCACTCTTCAGGGGTAAGTTAACAAAAGTATCACACAACCAATTTCAAAACATGTTCTGCTTATCTTTAAAAATGCTCTAGAGTGTAGCATGGGATAGTAATGCTTCATTAAGATTTTGCAATTTTTTAAAGGAACATTTTTCTTGACATTACTTTGATACACGTTTTCTTACTAGGTTACAAGTCCTTTCAGGGTCAGAAGCCCTGAGGTACTGTCATCATCTGAATTTCGACAGATTCTTGGGGAGCATTAGACCTTTCTTCCCATTAAAGAGAGCTTTTGCTGAGCTCCTTTTGTGTTACCAGCACATTGGGTGGACTAAAAGCTCTGCAAACTATACATCTCTCAGGAGGGGATTTGTGAGCTAGGGCTCTTATGCCTGAGAAGCCTAAACAACAAACTGACTTCCTGCACAGCTTCTCAAAAGCAGAAGTTGTATTCCCCACTCTGGGCTGGTTTATCGGAGTTCTTGGGGAATTCGTCATTTCCAAAAACTCTAGGTATTTTTGTACCAGCAGGGTTTCTACATTCGTGTAGCATGAACACTAACATAAATTCCTAGGGTAGACGTAGTAAACCAAAGGTAAAGGAGGGCTTGTATTAAGACCTGGGTGAGGGCTATCCAACTATCAACTAAGATAGGGGATTAAGTTAATTGGGGTTAAATTGCAGCCCTCAGGCTGTCACCCGGCCACCACTCTGTCCCCCACCCCTCCTTTGCTCCAACTGCAATAGCAGACACTCTCCAGGTTCCGCCTCCCTCCTCTGGCTGCTGCTTCCTGCCCTTGCCTCAGGGGGTGGGGCAGTATGGTGCAGTGTGAGGAGCTGAGGATGAGTTCAGGCTGCATGTTGTGGGCAGCAGGGGAGGGGGCTGCATGGTGCAGCTTGGGGGAGTGTATGTGTACTTGCCTGGTGCGAGTCATGTAGTTTGCAGTCTTTAGGGCATGTGGCCCCTGAGGGTTTAGAAGTTGGACAGCTTTGACCTAGGCTGTGTCCTCCCTGCAAAGTGCACTATGACTGAACATTGGGAGAGCTGTCTTGCTGTAAAAACCTAGTGGAGACAAGGCACAGATAATTTTTAACTAGCTATATTACCACATGGGGTGGGGGAGAAGGCTGCCTTCAAACTACCTGCATCAGTCTTAAAAGATACTATAAGACACTATAGTCAATGTTTTTTACATCCAGATAGCTCTTGCTTTTTTTTTTTTTTAAAGATGGAAACAATACCTGCCTTTATTTTGAAACCCATCTGTATGGTAAATAAGCTCTAGGACTCAAATGGTCTAATTAAAAGGAACATTTTTTTAACACCAAAGGGCAGACCAGATAAAAGGATTTTTCAAAAATATCTTTTGTCACACAGGGCAAGAACATGTGGATACATAGAGTTGTGTGGGTATTTGCATTATAGTAACAGACATATTTCTAGAGCACGCTTTCTACCTTCTCCAACTGTCATGTCGTGTCATGGGCAGCCAAATTGAGGACCACTCGGGGAACATGGTGTCCACCTGGAGGGGAGTGGAATCCAGGTATGGGCTGAGTCAGGAAGCCAGGAGGTCAGACTGAGAAACTGAGTCAAGAAACTGGTTTTGGGCATTCAGGAGATTAAGCCAGGAGTCAAATTAGAAAGAGGAAGAGTCAAATGGAAACCTTAGTCTGGGGGCAAGCCAGGTTGTTAGCTAAGGGTGCCTATACATGATCAGCGAGGCTGCTCCTACACACTGTAATTACAGTGCGTTGGAGCAGACTCAATTAATAGCAAAAATAGCGTGCGGCAGCATTTTATCTAAAGGTCTTTTGAGCTTTAGAAATGGTGCTCCTGCTGCCATTTTCAAGCGCAGGGACGCCGATACACAAGATGCTCCAGGTGCTTTAATTAGAGTGGCTCTTGGAGACACTCTAATTAAAGCGCTTCCCCCTCCCCCTCCAGATCACATGTATTAACGTTGTAAGGGATTAGTCAGAGAGCCAGGAGAAATACGAGGCAAGGATGAACCAGCCTGGCTAAGGTTTAAGCCCTGTTGCCTGGTTGCTTCCTTTTCAGAGTCATATGATTTTATAGGAAGGTGTAAAGCAGCGGTTCTGAACTGGGGATACATGTACCCCCAGGGGGTACGTGAAGCCTCATCATGGGGTATGTGAGAGCTATTTCATACATTTGTCTAACACAGGTCGAAGGGCCTAAAAAATTAATTTTCCATAGGAAGGGGGTACGTGAAGTCTCACTCTGAGACCAAGGGATACGTCGACTGAAAAAGGTTCAGAACCTCTGGTGTAAAGGATCAGCCAAGCCTGCCTGGCCACCTGCGTACTGCCTAGATGCTCAGGCAAGGAGGTAGAAGATTGGGATTTGTGACTGTGATGGGTAGGCGGAGGCCCTGGGTTTGAGGTTGTGGCCTGACATTAACCAGCCTGTCTGTGATCATCTTCTGGGCTGGGCAGAGGATGGAGCCTGGCAGGACAGCCATGGGGGCTTCTCCCGCAGCTCCCCCTGCTTGGGAAGAGGCAGGCACAGCCGAAGGAGCCGCGGGAGAACCTGCAGCCACCCAGCTGTGCCTGCCTCTCCCCAGCTGATCCGAATCTCTCCGAATCTTTTCTGAATTGACTTGGAGGCTTCAGATTCGATTTGGACCTTTTAATGGGTCTCCTGATTCAATTTGGATTTGGATATTTGGCCACCAAATCAATTTGAATCCCCTCCGAATCGAATCAGTGACAAGCTTTGCACAGCCCTAAATGCCTCTCCCTCTACAGGTGAGGGGAATATTTGAGAAATCAGTTTGGGATAGTAATTAGTTTGCTTCTGGTATTTACTTTCTAACATAAGTTTTAAAGATCATTGTGTGTTTTGCCGCTGAATGAAAAATGGTTCTTTTAAAATTTTTATTTCTAAAAATAAGCTACTTCCCCACCTTCCCCTTAATTGTTTTCCGTCTTTAAATTCAGGCTACAGGACTACCAAAGTACTAAAAGTATGTTTTCACCATGAAGAATTGAGTGCGTTTCATATCATATTAGCAACCTCAGGTTAAAAAAGTACCTTTTTATCATCAAGACATATACTCTGAGAGTTTAATGAGACCGGCCTAATATGGATTTCTCTCTTCACATTAATTCGACTCTATATCAAATACAAATTACTGAAAGATTAAAACTAGTCTCTCACAATATGGCATTAAAATGGGCTGCTCACTTAAATGAACATTATTAAGAAATCATACTCACTTTTTCATTGGGAATGCTTCTCCCAGTGGGAGAGATCTTGAATTGCAGAACAACCATGTTTCTATGGCAGAACAGGGGTCACATTCCTTAAAATAATGTCAGTAAAATGATTTACAGAGTAGCAGTGATAGAGATTACTGATAACTCTGAACTAAGTACTATTCACAATATTGCATTAATGTTTTTACAACGAAGAATAATATTTTGCATATAGCTGATAGAATGAAAAACTAAAACCGATTATCTATAATTTTTAGTATGTTCAAGAGCAGTCATTTGTACATGATAAAGTACCCATTTATCAATTTTTTGAATAATGAGAAAAATAATATTTTAGTGACTGATATTGCCATTTATTAGACTGATAAAAACCAAATGCATTAAAAATATGAAAACTCAATATAAAAAAATTCTACTCTGGAAAGCTACAAAGACAAATTACAAATATGGATAAACAAGAGCTGGCAGTGTTGACAAAGTATTTGCTGCCTCGTTATTTCAGAGCCACATCATTATATATTACATAGCAAAATGTTTTGTTAAGCTTGAAGATACCTATCACTTACTGTAAGTCAGAAAAAAACTTTAAGACAATAAGGGTCGTTGTTGCAAAATATATAGGTATTATAAGACTGGAAATTCCAAATTAAAGTTTCACCTTTGTCAGAGATAAAATGAAGGCCCATACCAAGCCTCCAAATGTGCAGATGTCTGTAACTGAATTTGAAATGTGTCAGGCAGCCTAAATTTGTCCCTGAATCATCCTCTTGAGAATAAGTAGAACATCAAAGACAGTCTTATTTGTTGCATATGTTTCTGGGGTCAACAAGGTAGTTTGGAAGCAAGGAACCTAAATAGCTTCAAGTTAGACCTTGATAAGGTGTAATAGGATAGGTTGGAGTGATTTGAAACTAGCAATTGCAGTTTGTGATATAAAGTTCATGGGATTCAGTTTGTTGATGTCCCCAAAGGGGGGCTGTAAAGAGACGTAGGTTCTGGAGAAGCATTACATTGCTAACAGGAGAAATGTCACTCTGCCATGAGCATACAGGTGTTCATAGAGTCATAGAAGTAGGGTCGGAAGGGACCTTGTAGATCTTCAAGTCTGACCCCCTGCCTGGGCAGGAGGAAAACTGGGCTCAAATGACCCCAGCCAGGTAGGCATCAAGCCTCTTCTTAAAGACCCCCAGGGTAGGAGCCAGCACCACTTCCCTTGGAAGTTGGTTCCAGATCCTAGCCGCCCTAACTGTGAAGTAGTTTTTACGGATGTCTAATCTAAACCTACTCTCCAACAACTTGTGGCCATTATTCCTTGTTATCCCAGGGGGCGCTAGGGGAAACAAGGTCTCCCCCCAACCCTTCTGGTCCCCCTAGTGAGTTTATAGATGGATCATGTGGATCTATGAGAAAGTTCTTCCACATCCAACCAAGAATATCTAATTTCTGCAAGAGGTTCCTACACTTTTTTCAAATGCCTGTATAGTTCCTGGTTGTATGCTAAGCTGTGGCACAGTTCTCTGGCATCCCAGCATGCTTTGCTCCATCTCCTCCCCATGGTTCCAAGGAGCCCTTTTGTGACTCATGCCCAGCTCCACTGCTCCAGTCAAGTACAGGGATAACTGCACCCCTTAGATTCATAGATGTTAGGGCTTTTCTGATGGCTTCGTCACACTGCCGACTCATGTTCATCTTGGAGTCCACTAGGGCTCCAAGATCCCTTTCCACTTCCGTGCCACCCAGCAGGTCATTCCCTAGGCTGTAGGTATGCTGGACATTTTTCC